ATGGTCTGACTCCAAACCAAATTTCTCTCACTTTAAAAATCATTTCAAACTTTATTTTAATGTACAAAAGGGAATTAGAGCCTATACCACATTGTGAGCAAATATGATATTGTTGCATAAAGTGGCACCCTTTACCTTTTCTATAAACCTATTATATATTAGATTGTTGATATTATTGTATTGTACTTTGCAGTTATTTATTTTGTCTCACTTTTCTTACCTTTGAATGAATAATAATATATTTGTTGTAAACTCCAAATACAGCTCACTCCAAAATAAATATTTAGTGTGGAAAACATGTTAAAGATGATCAGACAGGCTGTCAATTCATTAATCTGTTTTCTCACAAAAGCAGTTTATTCAGCATACAGAAGCCTCTCCTTCCAATGGCGCCACCAGGGGGTGGCCACCCCTGGCCGACTCCTGGCCACCCCATGGCCACCCCAACGGCCAGAATAAATTTTAGTAGCATCAGTTATGCATTTCATAAATAAGTCAAAAATATTCTTTAGTAAAAGAAGACGGGGCATTATGTGTCGTGACGTGCTTTTTAAGTGCCAAATGGTTACAGTATACTGTTACAGCAGCTTTTTGATGTGTCTTTGCCACGTTTTGACAGGATGCAAACAGCGCGCTTTTCGGCGCCACCCGCATTTTTTACGTCAGTTTGGGTGACAAAGTCATCTGAAGTCATTCCATAGCTTAATGTGAGGGACAGAAGTCTATTTACATCATTAAAGTATACGGAAACTCGTTTTCCCTCCTCTGCGGCTGTCAATCATTCTCCATTCATATTCAAACAGCGCGCGCGCCTCTTGGATGCACGGTAAAACTCTCTCCAATATGATATATTCACATTATAATGCATGATCTGTAGATAAAAGGCTGTAGATTTGCATAAATTACTTTATTTTGTTGGAGTTTGTTGTTGTTTTTAAACGACTCACTACCGTGTGCTTGCTAGATCATCACACACACATCACAAGGACTATGAATCGGCATCAAACGCACAATAACTGGAATATAAAACTGAAACAAAGGAACAAATCGCACTAGGATTTGTGCGCTCGACATTTCTTCGCTTTGTGACGTGAACTTTTAAATGCGCACTTATGCAGCGCAGCGCTGCACACATAGAGTCACCATGTTGCTTTGAGCACATCATTCTGCACCCGCGATGCGCATACACGCTGTGTGTGTGCGCTCTGTTTTTCATGTTATCATGGGTTTGCGTACTGAAATATTATTAAAAGCCAATATATTTTGTTATACCTAGCCTGCTCAATACATTTAAAATGAGCATGATTTAATTGTATATTATTTCTTTGTAGTGTAGGCTATGCACTTCTGAATTCTTGACATTAATATATAAATATAAAATTGTGAAATGTATGATTGCCTGATTGAATTTTATAAGAGAACTAATAGTAATTTGTTTTTATTAACATATTTAGATTTTATAAAATTACTGTGCAGATTTTTTCAAGAATTACTTTTTGCTGCTGATTTATACACTCATTAAGTTTATTAAAAATTCATAGTACATTTATGTAATATTTAAAGGTGTTAACTGTAATCTTACACTGCAAAATAATAACTTAAAAGGATTAAATTCATCACAATTATGTAAGTATCTGGAAATTTGCCGCGGGGCGAGGGCCCTTATATATATACACTCACCGGCCACTTTATTAGGTACACCTGTCCAACTGCTCGTTAACACTTAATTTCTAAGCAGCCAATCACATGGTGGCAACTCAGTGCATTTAGGCATGTAGACATGGTCAAGACAATCTCCTGCAGTTCAAACCAAGCATCAGTATGGGGAAGAAAGTTGATTTGAGTGACTTTGAACGTGGCATGATTGTTGGTGCCAGAAGGGCTGGTCTGAGTATTTCAGAAACTGCTAATCTACTGGGATTTTCACGCACAACCATCTCTAGGGTTTACAGAGAATGGTCCGAAAAAGAAAAAACATCCAGTGAGCGGCAGTTCTGTGGGCGGAAATGCCTTGTTGATGCCAGAGGTCAGAGGAGAATGGCCAGACTGGTTCGAGCTGATAGAAGGGCAACAGTGACTGAAATAACCACTCGTTACAACCGAGGTATGCAGCAAAGCATTTGTGAAGCCACAACACGCACAACCTTGAGGCGGATGGGCTACAACAGCAGAAGACTCCACCGGGTACCACTCATCTCCACTACAAATAGGAAAAAGAGGCTACAATTTGCAAGAGCTCACCAAAATTGAACAGTTGAAGACTGGAAAAATGTTGCCTGGTCTGATGAGTCTCGATTTCTGTTGAGACATTCAGATGTTAGAGTCAGAATTTGGCGTAAACAGAATGAGAACATGGAACCATCATGCCTTGTTACCACTGTGCAGGCTGGTGGTGGTGGTGTAATGGTGTGGGGGATGTTTTCCTGGCACACTTTAGGCCCCTTAGTGCCAATTGGGCATCGTTTAAATGCCACGGCCTACCTGAGCATTGTTTCTGACCATGTCCATCCCTTTATGGCCACCATGTACCCATCCTCTGATGGCTACTTCCACCATGTCACAAAGCTCTAATCATTTCAAATTGGTTTCTTGAACATGACAATGAGTTCACTGTACTAAAATGGCCTCCACAGTCACCAGATCTCAACCCAATAGAGCATCTTTGGGATGTGGTGGAACGGGAGATTCGCATCATGGATGTGCAGCCGACAAATCTGCGGCAACTGTGTGATGCCATCATGTCAATATGGACCAAACTCCCTGAGGAATGCTTCCAGCACCTTGTTGAATCTATGCCACGAAGAATTGAGGCAGTTCTGAAGGCAAAAGGGGGTCCAACCCGTTACTAGCATGGGGTACCTAATAAAGTGGCCGGTGAGTGTATATCATATATATATAATATATATCATTATATATAATATAATATATATTAGTAGGGCCCTACTAATATCATTATTAAGCTAACATTGAATATAACACAATAAACCAAAGTATATCAGTAGGAGTTTCCTTAAGTCTTTCTGATAGTTTTCTACAGGCCGGTTTACTACAACAGTAGAATAAAATTCTGAAATTATGGTTTATAGTTTTTGTGTGCCACCCCAAGATTTTAAGTGGCCCCATCTGGCCACCCCTATGAAAAATTTCTGGAGGCGCCACTGTCTCCTTCATTGACATCCGTTCATCCTGTTTTACATTGGACAATACCATTTTTAAATGTCTCCCAGTACAGCCTTGAGCTGGACGCTGATTTCTTCTTCTTTTTCTGGTTGTATAATTCCTATATTATAAAACCAGAGTCAAAACTGAGAATGTGGCATGAGAAATCAGAGTTCATTCAGAGTTTGCTCTTTTGGAAGAGGAGAACAGAGAAAGAGCCTTAAAAACGTAGGTTGCCCGAGGCACAGCTGCACCATATTGCAAAGCTCTTTCTAAGCACAGGATATTAAGTGTTGAATCTCTTATATGTTACCGTTAATTTTATATAGCTGCCTTAAGACTTCATAAAACACAGGCAAAATATAACGTTTTAAAGACTGTTTGACAAGTATCTCATAGGCACTGTGCCTGTTCCCTGAATTACTTTTGAGAAATAGAAAAAAATATATTACACTAGAAAAATGGGGAAACAATTGGGTGTTTGAACTTTAGATCTCTTTCATACCTAGCAATAATTGTGCACATTGCGTCTAGATCTTTGACAGACGCCTGGACAGACACTAAAGACACTGTTGGTTTTAATTATGAATTATTTCTGCTGGAACCTAAACAAATTATTACAGGTTAACTCTTTTTAACTCTTCAGAAACTATATCAGCTCCAGCAAGAGAAATCTTTTTTATGAAACTGTTCTAGCATCACAGGATGATGAGACCCAACTTACCAAAGATATTAAAAAGAAAATGATTACCGGACAGCCACAAAAGACCTTTCTTACATGACATTCACATGGGAAAGTGGAAATTACAATAAAAAAGAAAGAAAAGAAAATTACAATGATAATGACAAATGCAGCTGCAGAGATGGAACCACTGAAGAAAATTTAGTATAGCCTACATTTAAAAATTCAGAATTTGTATCTGTTCTTTACAAAAATCTTCAGTATAATCTACAGAAAACACTTCAAATTGTAGTGGACTATTCCTTAAGCATATAACGCATATCATTGTTGCACATGCGTATGTTCCATAGCATACATTGTAAAAATAAAAAAGAGCATGCATTAGAGAGAGAGAGAGAGAGAGAGAGAGAGAGAGAGAGAGAGAGAGAGAGAGAGAGAGAGAGAGAGAGAGAGAGGAGACAAGACAAGGGGGAGGGGGGCAGAGGGAGGTGAAGTGATTCCTAACTGCTCTTTTTAAACTCTCTTTCTCACCTGATAAAATAAGCTGAGAATGAAACCAAACCCTGAGTGAGAATAACCAACATTTCAACTCTGTCACATTCATTAAAGACCTTCAAGGAGCACATCACGACCATGCAAGGTAAATTATTTTAAAAAATTCTCCTTCTGTTGAAAGGCTATTCAACAGAAGCCTTTCAACAGAATATTAAGTTTTATATCCTGTAATTAAGAATTATTTTAAGAATTTTGAAAGTAAAAATAACAGTACTTGCATGGTTGTTTGCAGCATAGATACAGCATCAAGAACCTTTTTTGGCTCCATGGGAAACTTTTAGTTTCTTGATGTCAGATTACAGGTTTTCAAGGTCTATCTGTTCATCAGTTTTTTGAGTTCTTTAGGTTTTATTTCTCTAAATATGAGGCAGTAAAACACGTTTTGGTTATACATAAATAAGGATGTTTTAATAATAACAATACAATTAATTTACAAAAAAAAAAAAACTATTGATAATTAACAAAATAATTAATAATTTTAATGTAACAAAACAGAGTAACATAGGAAATCAATTGCAGAGTCCAATGCAGTAAAATAAAAATGTATTAATGAAATGTATTTTAGTGAATATGAATCGTAATGTGAACTGTGTTTCTAGTGAGAATGATGCAGAAAACTGCTCTGCTAGCACTCTGCTGCCTGTTACTGTCAGCTACATCTTCCCCAGTCTATCCAGCACTGAGGTGAGATACACACCAACTGTTCCACCATGCGTGTATTTCATTCAAAAACATTTAGTGTCTTAATTGGTGTAATTAACTGTTTGTTACATATTCTTACTCTTACACTATAGCTCTGTTCAATAGTGTGGATTCATATTTCATTCATTCATTCATTCATTCATTCATTCATTCATTCATTCATTCATTCATTCATTCATTCATTCATTCATTCGGTAATGTGCAAGTTGGTTTAGAATGCATTGCTATGGATTACATGGGTCAAATAGCTGAACTATTTGTAAATAAATACATAAATTAATATTATACAAGTGTTAGTTGCAATTTATAAAACATTAGTTTAAAAAAATATATATTTGTAAATGTTTTTTGTAAAAGTAAATGTTTTAACATAAGTGAACATGATAAAAATATAGAACTGCTACACATTTAACAAATCTTTTACCTTTTATAACGTTTTAGAAAGAAAAAAAATGCATGTTTGACATGGTTTTAATGACACTGTAGAGGCGAGACTTTACGATTACAATTACAGTGTCATTTTATATCTAAAGCATGAGATTTTTTTTCCAGCAAACATATAACAAACAACAGTTACATAATTTATAATTACAAATCCTTTTAAATGTAAGGCTACTTAAATTGTCAACAATATTATATAATAGCCAACCATTCTCATAGCGTTCAGATTTTCTCAGAACATGGCATTTGCAGCCCTTGTTGGGATACAACTAATTAACAGTGTGTGACTCATTTTTACACAAATGTAGACACACACCTCTATGCAAACCCATGGACAGGGAGTAGGGTGTGAATAATACTAACAAAGAATGAGAACAGTGAGTGAACTGGAAAGCCTGTGCGCTACTTTTGAGCGTATGTTTAGAAGCTGTCACAGGTCACATGAATTGACAAAGCCTGAACTCTGCTTTTGTTGTGTTAAGGGTCAGGGCTTCATCTTATTTAATTATGTCCCTTGCTACATAAGGGGGGTTGCATAAGAAACTAGATAAAAAAAGTTTTTCAAAACAAACTTTGAAGTTGGCTTTAGAAAGCCAGACCAGAACGTTTGAAAAAGTTTGAACAACTTTGACAGACAGATAAACTAAGGTGTTGCTATACGGTTGCTAATGTATTCTGTGTGGTTGCTAGGTGTTGCTGTGCGGTTGTTAAGGTACTTGGGTGGTTGCTAGGGTGTTGCTATGCGGTTGCTAAGGTACTCAGGGTGGTTGATATGTGGTTGCTAGGGTATTTTGGGTGGTTACTAGGGTGTTGCTATGCAGTTGCTAAGGTACTCAGGGTGGTTGCTATGATAGATAGATAGATAGATAGATAGATAGATAGATAGATAGATAGATAGATAGATAGATAGATAGATAGATAGATAGATAGATAGATAGATAGATAGATATAGGAAAACTGCAAGTCGGATCAGTTAGAAAAGGTATAGCAACTCGAGACACAACACTCTGAAGGTCTAGTCTGAGTTTGGTGGTTCTAGCTTTAAAGCTCTTGGAGGAGTTAGAGTCAGAATTTTTTGTATCAGAATAATAATAATATTAAGTTTAAATAGCATTTCAGTAAGTTACTTAAATATTGTAAGTAAGTAAGTAAGGTTTATTTCTATAGCACATTTAAAACACCTCGCACTGACCAAAGTGCTGTACATAGCGCAGTAGCAACAGGGTAATAAAATTAAGTAAAATACACTTACAAATCAGTGATTTAGGCTAAATCCACATCAAGAGACAAACACTTAATTACAAACATAGCAGAATAAGACAATTAAGATGCCGGGAAGGCCAAGGTAAAAAGGTGAGTTTTGAGCCTGGCTTTGAAAATCACAATTGAAGGGGCACTTCTGATGTCAGATGGCAGTCGGTTCCACAGCTGAGGGACAGCAAAAGAAAAGGCTCTGTCACCTTTTTGCTTAAGCCGGGACCGTGGGACCTGGAGGAGGCCTTCACTGGAGGATCTGATTGCTGTGTCAAGAATTGTTATTGAATCTCATCATGAGTTTTGTGATTTGTCAACTTAAATACATGTGGTGGATTATTTCTCTCCACTTTAAAGGGTTAGTTCACCCAAAAATGAAAATTATGTCATTAATGACTCACCCTCATGTCGTCCCAAGCCTGTAAGACCTCCGTTCATCTTCGGAACACAGTTTAAGATATTTTAGATTTAGTCCGAAAGCTTTCTGTCCCTCCATTGAAAATGTATGTACGGTATACTGTCCTTGTCCAGAAAGGAAATAAAGACATCATCAAAGTAGTCCATGTGACATCAGTGGGTTAGTTAGAATGTTTTGAAGCATCGAAAATACATTTTGGTCCAAAAATAACAAAAACTACGACTTTATTCAGCATTGTATTGTCTTCCGGTTCTGTTGTCAAGCCGCGGTCAGTGACGCTGCTGACGTAAGACGCTGCTGACGTGTAATCTGAGGCGCCCGAGCTTCGTTTACAGGCTGAGGGAGACGCACGCTGTAAACAAAACAAACTTTGCAAACATGTCTAAGGATTTCGACACAGAGGAAGACTTGCATTTTTTTGCCCAGCCATATTTATTTGAACCCGAATACACGGACGCACCAGATAACACGTCAGCAGCGTCACTACGGACTCGTGAATGCGGATTGACAACAGAACCGGAAGAGAATACAATGCTGAATAAAGTCGTAGTTTTTGTTCTTTTTGGACCAAAATGTATTTTCGATGCTTCAAAACATTCTAACTAACCCACTGATGTCACATGGACTACTTTGATGATGTCTTTATTTCCTTTCTGGACAAGGACAGTATACCGTGTATACATTTTCAATGGAGGGACAGAAAGCTCTCTGACTAAATCTAAAATATCTTTAACTGTGTTCCGAAGATGAACGGAGGTCTTACGAGCTTGGAACGACATGAGGGTGAGTCATTAATGACACAATTTTCATTTTTGGGTGAACTAACCCTTTAAATAGTATGCTGCCTATTTCATAAAAAAAAAAAAAGTTATTCTTCTTGTGTCTTTGTCAATAAACCGCAGATTCCCATGGTGACGGTTTAACCCATTTAGTGTAATATGCCTCATCATGCCATAGCGTGTATTAAATGCTCTGTCTTTTAGTCCTGGGAAATAACAGTGAGCAAATGTTCAATAGTTTTTTTGTAGCCAAGACTTTACAGAAATTGACTGCCAAAAATAACCTTAAAAAATAACCAAAATTATTCTATTACTGAAAATCTGACTAAAACAGCTCCTGTCTGAAAAAGTCTCCAAAGCATCCTGCATTTTGATTGTATGTAGAAGAGCACCTGTTCTACCTAATAGAGTATTTTCACGTCTTATGAATGTAACAGTGATAAAGAACACTTTATGTGTTTGTTAGGTTTGGTCAGCGAGCGGCTGCGATCTTGATGACCTCCTCTATTGAGGATCCAATGCAGCTGACAGCAGACACTTCACTGCTGCACACACCAGATGCTGAGCTTAGGTCGCTCATTCATTCATTCATTCATTCATTCATTCATTCATTCACTCATTCATTCATACACCCATGGCTCAACAATAAAAAAGTTTTTATTTTCTAATAGTTCGAATTTTTGCTTGCCATTGGTTTAACACTTTCACTAGCCATACTAAAAAATTAATTAATAAATTAATAAAAAATAAAAAAACAATCATGTATCTTTTTAGAAGCAGCATTGGCCCAACAGTAAGTACAATTTTTGTTAACCTGAAACTCTCTCACACTGCTCTGGGCTATTGGGCAATCCCAATTGCTGAACCATAACGCCATCCAGAAATTGTTCAATCTGACTTGAAATATAGTCATCTTACTGTCATAACTGTATGATGTTTAAACACTATTTTTAGGTTTGGAAGACATGCTGACGCCATCTTTACCAACAGCTACCGAAAAGTTCTGGGTCAAATATCTGCCAGAAAATTCCTTCAAACTGTTATGGGCAAAAGACTTGGGTATGTTTCTTTTTTAGACATTTATTTGAACAAATACTTTTAAAATAGGGTAATTCATTTTTTTTATTATTTAAATAATTTAGTTTTAGGTACCATTTTCCTCTCTGACACACATGCCTTTAATATTTTGCCTCTGTGCTTTTAAGATTTGTGAACACCCAATATATTGGCATCATTGATGTTTAAATATGACCGATCATGTATTCAAATCTCGGGTTCCTGGATTTAAGAATGCATCATTATAATTAATTAAATTCATTATTTTATTTTCAAAGATTAAAGAAAAATGTATTTGTACTGATGTGATTTAACCCATGACGTACCAAATTAATAATGCTGTGTCCCATGAGATTTCAATCAATTTTTACCTTTGTCAACAGACCAGAAACTCAAAACTATCTAAAGCGCCAATCCGGCATATATGGAGACACCTACAAGCAAGATGTGGATATGGATGTCATTGAGAGGGAACAAAGTTACAGAGAACCACAAAGACTTAAGTTCTCAGTATAGCTACACACTGATGGAAACATTAAAAACCACAACAACAACTGTGAACTGTCTTTAATACTTGCATTTGCCACATTTCACAATGGATTATTAAAACTCAGTTCACCCCATGGAAATAAGGAGTCCCTAACTAAAATACACAAATGTTTAAATCACTGTATTTTACATCCACACAGTAAAAGTACATATGTTGTATAGTGGTATAATTGAACGTTCCCTAAGCCTCTCCTAACACTGATGAAAAATCCTACATTAGGATCTCTTGCCAAATAAACAGTATGGTGAGATTCTAAAGTGAGCATACGATGGACACTTTGCCATCCCATGAGGATGAGAGGATTTGTGAATGGCAGTGAAGTGATGCAACTGACTCTGGTAGGTCACATGAGCGGTCATGAATTTACTTACTCAAAATAAGTACCTCCTCAGAGAGTATGCAATTTCGGACGCAGCCTATATTGAAAATACAAGTAAAAACTCAATGCAACAAAAGTGAATACAGCTGTGATCATTGACGCAAGTTGGAAAACCTGTAATCATTGAAACGGAATTGTGTACTGTGATTTCCAATGCATGAGCACGTTTCTAAAAAATGTCCTGTTTGAACACCAGGGGCCTCATTTATAAAACATGCATACATAGATTTGATCTAGACTCTGAGCTATAATCCACACCAACATTCATATTTATAAAAAACGGTCTTTGACATGGAAAAGTGCTTAGTGCCACGTCAGGGTCTAAGCAGACGTATGCACTCTTTCTTGTGGCAGAGTAGGCCTACAGGTATTTGGAAGTCTAAGCAAATCTCAAGTAAAGCATTTGGACATTGATTGGTGATCTTTAGGCTATATGTTCATGACATTAATACGAGGGCGTTTACAAGGCGGAGATCTGAAACCATTCAGCTGTGCACAATTTCAAGATCATTTGCGATTTATAAATGTCACTTCTGGAAGAGAGACTACGCACGTTTGTAAACTTTCATTCTCTGAATCACACGTAGGCTACGCACATATGAGAAATGATCTAAGCAACATTTTATATATGAGGCCCCAGAACTTTCTAAATTTGGACTATGCATGTCTGCATCATGGTTTTAAATGGGAAATAACTGCCAGATGAATTAAAAAATGAGAACAGATTGTCCAGTTTACTCAATATTATTTATCTACACAACAAAATTGTGTTTCTCTCCCAACTTGATTTCTTTACTTTCGATCAATGTGGTCCTTAATGTGCAAGCTACTACTAGATTAAATTATGTTGGGTGAAAACCACATCATTTAATTTAATAAACCATTCAAGTTCTCTTTTTGCTGATATTACTGTAGTTCCCACTTCCCAGGATGCTTTGTATGAGACTTAATGAGGAGAGAATGTTGAAATGAAATATTATTTTATGTGATTTTGAGCAAGATGAGAAAAGAGGAAGACTTTACGGAGAAATATTGTTACGTTTAATTATGTTGTGGTTTAAAACTATTTCAAATACGTTTTACTTAACATTTTAGTGAAGAGTGGAGCTTTTGTTTAGACTGTACTCAGTATTAAGCATGAAGGAGACAAGTTCTGTTGTTTGCTAACAATTTGTTTGCTAGCTAGTACGGTGATGTGACATTTCATGAATTAACGCTGTCAGGGAACTATCTAAATTAATTTTGAGACTACATAATTGGTTCACTTAAAAATAATTTAATTCCAAACCACACTCTTATTAAGGGTTCTGTCAGTTTCATATATAGAACCTTTTAGGGGTTCCCATTTTATGGGCTTTGTGGACATGTTTTAATTAATTTTTAATTGAAATTAATTTTATAAATTAACCAGCTCGTAATGGTTTGAAATAATTGAACATTTCTCTCCAATTTGGCATAAAATGTTATTTAAAATTGAGCCAAGAACACTAACGTTATATATTGAACCCCACTGAACATTTTTTTCTAAGAGAGCATGATGTTGAAGTTACATACATTTTTTTTTTGTATAACTTGATTAATAAATCAAATTTAACACACTTTTTTTCCATCGAAACGTACTGTTGCAGCAGTAATCAGAAGATAGAGAATGAGACGTGTGCCCAAAAAAATACAATTATTTTGTTTTGTTTAGGCTTTTTCCATGTTATGTTTTTGACTTGACACGTGCGTGACATGTCGTAACATCGAACGTCTTAGAGATGCACCGATATATACATGTTGGCCGATACGATAATTCTTTACATCTGAAAGCCGATAACTGATATATTGGTCAATAAATCTAAATTTTTATATAATTTTTTTGAGAGCCAGATTACAAAAACAAAAGTCTCACCATTAAAAGCCATGTCCCAAGCATTTCAACAAACATATACAGTACAGTAGTTTGAACCAGTGTAAGTTTTAAAATAAATTTTAGACTCCTATGGTCAACTTTATCAAATAAAATCTATAGCCTTACAAATGAATAAAAGAATGCCTAAACAATGCAAATAAGTCACTGGACAACATTACTTGCATATAAAGAATCACAATGCATGTGCTATGGATAAATTAATTGGAATAGCCTCCGTCCGGATAATAATGAAAAGATTTTAATTATATCATATTGTTAATGAAAATAAATGAGAAATATAAAAGTGCTAGTTATTATTAATAATGCATCAATGTTTTTGAAAAAGAAACATCTAAAATTAAGCCTATTTGACAGACTTTTGCTGCACATGTTGCATTTAACTGTATTTTCCTTGTGTGATTTTAATCATATTTCAAGCAATTTAAAACCATCATGGAGAACAGTGTGTATCTGAAGTGTCTCAGCTGAAGGAAATAATCCATTATTTATCAGCTTTAATATATCGGCCATATTTCTTATCAGGCCGATAACGATAACTTTAAAAATGACTAAACATTGGCCGATACCGATACGGAGGCAGATATATCGTGCATCCCAAGTTAATATTCAATAATATTATAGATTTGAGTGCACTGACAATATAGGGTGAGATCTAAACTGAGCTGGATGATAACATCACGGTTTTCTCCAGAACTGCCTTGTAGATGAAATGAACTAGTTTAATAATTGATGATCTTTACAACGGAACTGAATCAACACTGAACTGACTTCAGCTGAACAATGACACTTTTATTTTTAGAGCTGCTTTGCAGTCGAATTGAACTCTGTTTGCATCATTGAATCATTTTCCTGTCATCATTGTAAAGCTGCTTTGAAACAATCTGTATTGTATAAAGCACTATATAAATAAAGGTGACTTGAAAAAATGTGTTTCCCAGGTGCAATTGAACGCAACAATAGTACCACCAATTAGAGCAACAGGGGCCATCCTCCTAAAGTGATGCCATGGAGAGAGCACCATATAGGGCTGTGGTCCGAAATCGCCCCCTATACCCCCCTATATTATGTGCTATTTGAAGGGACAGTCATTTGTAGCGGTGTTTGAAATCATAGTGCACATTTCAGCACTCATTCAATCCCATAATGCACCTCAATGTACACTCAACAGCTAGCCGCTAAAAACACCCATGTACTGTGAGAGTTGCACCGAACGAATTCCCATATCTCACCAGCAGTTGCCATCCACAGCAATTCCAGCACACTCAAGAGTCTGAATACACACTTCTTTTGATTCACCAAATAATCCCTTCCCCAAACTTCCATTTCATACTTTTGATTGCCTAAATTAGTATGTTCTACATTTAGAATAGTAAAGAATGACTTTTGTGGTAGCAGATATCAGCATTATATCCGTCACATTGCTCTCTAAAAATTGACTCCAGAAAAAAAAACCCCCACTAAATAAGCACATGTGTTTTAATGGTTTTATTTATTTTAAAAAACACTTAACTAACACACGTTAGCCTTCTGTGTGGTGATTACTGGGAGAATGATTCGACAATTCAGTTCGCTTGATGACAAAGAAAACCTCTTGCTCCCAACAGGAACATGCTTCACTATTCATTACAAAAATCTGAGGACAGGAATTTGTATTCAAAAACAAACAAAATGAACCCAAAATAAAAAGAGAAAACAACAGAACATCACAAGTTTTCATTTGTATTAACACCAAACAAGACTCAATGTACAAGCAACAATCATCATATATCCTCAAAGTATCATTCATCTTACAGTGCTTTGTTTTCAGGATAAAACAAAAACAAACATGTTTCTCATTTTTGTCAATTTCAGAACATTTCGGCCTACACCTTCGTTTCTCTTTTAAACCACCACCAATAATTCTGTTCCCAAATTTCTTAAAGTAAAAGAAAAATGAATATGAAGCATCCACGGTCGTCTTCTCTTGATTTTGCCAGCATCATTTTCTTTCGAGTCTGAAAGAGAGAATATTAAGTTCTGATTAAAACTAGATTTGTACTTCTTGAAGGAATAGTAGTGCTTGCAAGGCAACAAAACATTGAAGTTTAAGGTGAGCTTAGGTTTTAAACTTTGGTTCTTCATATTCTGCAATGCCATTAAATCTTCCTGCTGTCAATCACACTGCCTTGAATAAAGTTAAACAGATGCAGGAAAAGACCACTACGCTGTATGCAAATATCAAGATGACACCATCTGTTGGTTTGTATTTCAAATGCTAAATTCAAATGTTCAAACTCTAAACAAAGTTTGGAAAATGTCAATATAGTGCTGCATTGCAAGCACTGTAAAAGAAAATTATTTTAAATGGAGCAATATTGCACAACTTTTATCATGGCCATGAAATCATGACCAATCTACTCAGTATTCAAAACAACTTTAGGAGGGGGAGAATAAATTTCATGCATTGAGAATTATTTATTAGCTTGCATCTCGTCTATAATGCAGAACCTGATTCAAAAACCTTCAAATTATAATTTTTGCAATGCAATTCCTCATTTTACAGACCAGTTCCGTGTAAGGTTGAGAATGATGCAGCAGGCTACTCCGATCTAGCATACTTTACTGAAAGTGTACAGCATCACATGCTAAATGCTAATAATGAATCCAAGCATATAATTGTGCTAAATAAATAGACTTATGAACTTTTAAAAAGATGGAGAAAACACTCCATATATATTTTTGTTGTTGATGTTAAAGGCTGATACGTAGTACTGGTTGAGTTTTACAGTGTATGGAAATAAGGGGCATCATAGAATATTCTGGATTCACAAATGGCAGCAACATTAGTGCGAGGGTTCTCAACTGTTGTTACTT